TGCCTCAGCCTCCTGTGTGGTGAGGATTATAGGCTTGCCCTACCACATGCTGCTAGAGAACTCTTCTTGATACCCTGGCCACAGAAACTTGTAAAGGCTGGACACTGCCCAACTCCAGGGGTGCTGTTCACACACAGATATATGCACTATAATGGCCTCTGAGTTGTGCCAGCCACAGGGCTCTGTGTCATTAAGCTCCTATGACACACGCTAGCTGCACCTCTTCCCTGTGGTACCTTTTGCAAGTACTCTGATCACATCGGAGGCCGGCCTTCCTGTGTCCTTTGTGGTAGTCTCAGTCCTGCCACTGGCCCAGCTCAAGGAGATGCCATTAGCACCTGTGCCCACCCCAGGCTTGCTCTAGTTGGACCCTTCATCTCCTTGCCAGCTCCATCCCAGTACCCATGTCCTGCCTTCTGCCTTTCAGGGAGCGTCCCCGGATCTCCCTGGCCACCCTCGACATGGACAAGCTCCGGAGCCTGCCTGAAGGTTCCTTCGGCTGTGAATATCTCCGCTTCCTGGAAGTAAATGTGAGTCTCCACCTTGTGAGTTTCTGGCAATCACCAGGACAGGCAGAGAATGGCACAGGAGTGACAGCCCGAGGTTAGAGGAGTCCTGTGCTCCTGCCGTGGGCAGAGGGCATCTCATCAAGTATTACAGATACTGTCCCTATTTTCCCATGTACGAACTAAGACTCCTGCCACCTCATCTGTCTGTACCCCAGCCTCCCTCCTGCAGCGTGTACACATCCCATCAGAGCCCTCTGCCCAGTGGGTCTGTCCTCTTCCATGGCACGGGCCAAAGGGCCGGGAACATGGCTCGAAAGGATAGCGCTGGCCCCTGTTCGTCAGCCTCACACCACATGACAGGCTCTGAACGCCCTGTTATTATCTCCTTCAGAAGAGCTCAGAGCGGTTCAGCAACTTGCTAATTGCCCACGGCCAGTATTACCAGAGACCGTAGGCAAGCCCAGGTAGTGCTTTGAAGTGCCGCACTGTGTTGCCCTCTTCCTGGGACGTTGAGCCTCCTGGGGTGACAGGTTTGGCACTTTCTCCAGCCCCAGGCAAGGATGGTGGCAGGGTGCAGGTGCGAGCGAGTTGAGGGGTTCCCAGGTCCCGTTTACAGTGCACGATGGTTCCACACACTGGGGTGTAGCAGGCAAGGTCCTGCCTTCATGGAGGCAGCTGTATCCTAGTTGCAGAGGTAGATAACAGAAGTTTTTAAAAATTAAATAAAAGTCAGGTAAAATATTTACTGAGTACAGAGAATGTCCCGCTCCCCATTCTCAGCGATGAGGGTACAGTGAACGAAGCCAATGAAAAGCCTGCTTTGTGGTCCACATGTCCCAGCCATACGCAGTGTGAACACAGCAAGTTCCAGCAAAGGGGTGCGTGTGTGTGTGGGTGTGACTGGGGATTGAACCCAGAGCCTTTGCACCGAGCTCCATCCCCATCCCTTTTTTATTTTTTGAGACAGCGTCTTGCTAAGTCATTGAGTTGCCCAGGATGGACTCAGACTTGCAGTTCTCCTGCCTCAGTGCTAGGATTGCAGGCCTAGGCCATCAGGCCTGGCAGGTTCTATGTGTTCCAAAAGAAAATCGCACAGCTTTGGGGTGCGGAGCTCAGTGGTAGAGCGTGTACGTGGATTCAATCTCCAGTACAAAAGCGAGAAAGGAAAATGGAGCAGTGGAGTGAGAAGGGAAGAGGCAGTGCCGTGGGAGCTGACGCCAGCCCACAGGCCCCAGGAGGGAGTGTGCATTGTGTCATCGGAGCACAACAGTAACATTACCTGATTTATAAGACATCCAGAAAGGGGCCAGGAATATAACTCGGCAGTAGAGCACTCACCCAGCGCACACAGGGCCCTGGCTTCTATCCGCAGCACCAAAAAAAGGAAGAAAAACTTAAGATACAGCCGGCCTGCCTTACTTGCCTGGCGCAAGCCTTCCTCCCTCCAGCACGCATACCTGCCACCAAATCTCTGTCCTAAGCACTGTCCCACCCACTCAGAAGCAAGTCAGGTGGAAGAGGTGAAGGGGTGACCAATGGTTGCTCAAGAATAGGGTTTCTCAACCTTGGCGCTATGGATCTGCTGCAGTGGACAGTGCTCTATGGCGAGGGTTGTCCTGTGCCCTGTGGGACATTTAGTAACATCCCTGGCTTCTACGCGCTCCATGCTGTTGAATTCACACCCCCCAGGGTCCCCAGACTTTGCAGATGTCCTCTAGTGAGCTGTCACAAAACACTGCTTTAGAAGGGCATTGTGCTCAAGACCACACCCAGCACGTCACCCTCTTCTTGGCAGGGCACGCACCTGCCCTGGTTTATGCCATCTCCCTCAGATTTCTGCAAGGTACAGACTGTTTCATCAGTGGAAACCCTGCCAGGGGGACCGACCTCAAGGGCCACCCAGGGAAGTGCTGCTCTGGAGCTCCCCAGAGCCTTTGGTCATGTTGCAGTGGAGGAGAAAGGAGCAGGAAGGGCTCCTTGCCCATTGACTGCCCTGGTTAGGCTAACAGCCCAGAGAGGTGACACTTGTGAATCGAGGGACACAGCAGCCCACAGAATAGGAGAGGCAAGGGCCGGGGATTTAGCTCAGCGGTTCGGTGGCCTGCCTTGCAAGCGCAATCCCCGGTACCAAAAAAA